CTTTGACAAAAGACTATAATATATGAGATAGAGTCCATGTACTCCAATCAAGTCTGGGAACTTGTAGAACTACCAGATGGGATAAAACTCATTGGGTGCAAGTGGGTCTATAAGAGGAAGAGATGATCAGACGGTAAGGTGAAAAAGTATATGGCAAGGCTTGTTGTGAAAGGGCTTACTCAGAAAGAGGAAATCGATTATGAGGAGACTTTTTCGCCGGTAGCCATTCTAAAGTCGATCAGGATTCTCTTATCCATTGCAGCTTATCTCGATTACGAGATTTGACAAATGGACATTAAGACAACGTTCCTTAAGAGGAATCTTGACGAGGGTATTTATATGGTACAACCAGATGGATTCGTAGCAAAGGGCCAAGAACATCTAGTGTGCAAGTTTAAGTGATCCATTTATGGACTTAAGCGAGCATCTAGATCTTGGAATATTCATTTTGATCAGAATATTAAATGTTTTGATTTTGATTAATGCTCGGATGAGTCATGTGTGTATAAAAGGTATGACAAAATGTGGTGGTGTTCCTAGTACTTTACGTGGGTGATATCTTGCTCATCGAAAATGATGTAGGGGTGTTATCTTCTGTTAGGGTAAAGTTATCCAATCAGTTCGATATGAAGGATCTGGGAGAGGCTATCCACATCCTTGGGATAAAGCTTATGCGAAATTGCAAAGATAGGATGATAGACTTATCTCAAACCACCTATATCGCTATCATTTTAGCCCATTTTAGCATGAAAATTTTCAAGAAGGGATTTCTTTCATTCAGACATGGAGTTTCTCTATCAAAGGAGCAGTGTCTTAAGACACCTAAAGAGATAGAGAGCATGAAGGCAGTTCCTTATGCTTCTGCAATGTGAAGTCTCATGTATGGTATGCTTTTCACTAGACTTGATATCTGTTTTGTCGTTGGTATGGTTAGTAGATATCAGTCTAACCCTGGGCAAAACATTGGACTACAGTAAAGTATATTCTCAAGCACCTGAAAATGATAAGAGATTATATGTTAGTTTACCGAGCAGATAGTCTAGTACCCATCGGGTACATGGACTTTGATTTTTAGTCAAATAGAGATTCTAGAAAGTTAACATCAGGATAAATGTTTACTTTAGGAGGTGGAGCCATTAGTTGGAGGCCTATCAAGCAATCTTGTATTGTTGATTCCACCATAGAATTCGAGTACGCGGAGGCTTCTAAAACAGCTAAAGAGGCAGTTTGGCTTAAAAACTTCCTAATGAATTTAGAAGTGGTACATTCAATAAAATCAGCTATTACACTTTATTATAAAAATATCGGAGCGGTTTGCTAACTCGAAGGAACCACGAACCCATAAGAAGGGAAAGCACATTGAGCGCAAATATCACCTTATACGAGATATCGTGGGAAGAGGTGATGTGGTGGTGACCAAGATTGCATCAGGAAACAACCTGACAGATCTCTTCACAAAGAGCTTACCAGCAAAGACTTTTAATAGTCATTTGGAGGGAATTAGAGTTAGATGTATGACAACATGACTTTGAGTATAAGTGGGAGAATTGATAGACTTGTATACTAAAAGTTTACTTTTTGTAGTGAAACTCGTTTTATTAATTAATGGAAGTTTGTTCTTTCCATTTTATTGAGAATCTATGTGGGCAAAATATTTGCATTATATTTGATATATGATATGCACGTGTGTCTTATATTTTATATTATACAAGATTTGGTGTGTAGAGTTCGGCTTATGCATAGAAGACTAGATTATCGGACTTTGTATAATATGAGTATAGGATCACAATCCAAGATGAAATTGGACACACCATCAATATGATTATAGTGTAATATTCTGGCATAGTATGTCTTGACTGTTTGAGATTGTTTGATATCCCAGATTATTGTATTAGTATATTTTGTGTATTAAACAGACCCATGTTGAGGTTATTATCTTTTACTGATTGAATAAGACAATAAATATCTCATGATTATTATGGTTGTTTATGCTCTTAATCCCAAAAATATGTAATTTTCTCGTACATATAATGTATATCACTTTAATTCATCAAAGAGTGAGATTCATATTGAGTCAATAAGCTCGGTTAATTGGAAAACGATAATATTTGTATGGTAAAAATTAATTATTAAAGGAAACCACATCCTGGTATTTAAATGAGTTGATAATGTCCTCTTGAGGAAGCTAATAAGTTTTGTTCATATCAAACCCTGTAAGTGGATTTAATTATTTGACATGACAAATAAGTTGAGTGATAAAGTCTCAAAGATAAAAGAAGTCAATTAAATATAATTGTCATTAATTTATTTAATTAACGAAAATTTATAATCTTAAATGTGGGGAGATTATTAAGCATATAATAAGTTTTTAGTACACTAACTTATTATTAATGGGCCGTAGGATGTTTGTTCTAGGTTGAACATTAGATTTGAAGCCCATTGGAAACCCGGTCCTTATTTCTCCTTAGAATTTTTGTCGTAACCTATATATAGACGTCTAGGCTCTCTAAATCAGTATCAATTTATTACTCACATTTTGAGAGAGGCTGAGAGAGAGAGAGAGAGAGAGAGAGAGAGAGAGAGAGAGAGAGAGCAAAAATTCGGAGGTTCTTGCAACCTACACTACATCCAAATTTTGATGTTGGGGGATATATGAAAGAAGGTCATGAGGTTTGTCGAGCTATCTTCCACGTTTTTTATTAGTTTCTGCGCTCGTGTTGAGAGAAGATCAATCTAGAGCAATCTCGAAGGTAAACCCTAATTCTGCCTTGTCGGGTTTTTTTTTTTTTTTGGTATTCGATACATACACGCTGTCAATGATTCTTGGGGTTTTCATTCCAACATCTTCTACCTCAGGCGATGCAGGTAATATTTCTCAGTTTGTTGAGCATATTGATGCACCTGTTGTTAGTACTGATGAGATTGCAGGTAGTGAGCCATTTATTTTACCTTATGAGACATTGTTAGTGGATGATGGTTTAGAGCATCATTACACTCGACATGATCGTCGTCCAGTTGTTTGTTATGGTTGGACCGTCAGGACTTTATATCCGATCTCTAGTTATTTTTCTTATGGTAATTTCTATCTAACATTTCGAGCTTATAGTATGATCTTATCAAATATGCTGGTTTCCTTGCTCTATTTTCGAGGCTATGTGGGAGCTCAAATGAGTTCTTTCCATACAAACAGAGATAGATGCTTTTCAACGTAATCATACATGAGATCTTGTCTCTTTACCTTTAGGGGTAAAACTTGTTGGTTATCCCTGAGTTTACACCTTGAAGTTTCTTACAAAAGGTACTATTGATCGTCATAAGACTAGGCTTGTGGCGAAGGGCTTTGCTCAAGTACCAGGTTGTGATTTTGGTGCTACCTTTGCCCCCATGGCAAAATTGACTACTATTTAGTTAATTATTTCTCTGGCTACAGAGTACTCTTAGCATCTTCATCAGTTAGATGTGAAAAATGTATTTCTTCATGGTGACCTAGACGAGACTATTTATATGGATGCACCACCGAGCTTTTGTGGCAAGCGAGAGTATGTTGGGGAGGTGTGTCGACTACCTAAATTTTTTTATGGACTAAAACAGTCATCACGAGCCTAATTCTCTATATTTAGTGGTGTAGTTATACGTTTAGAGTTCACCAAATATCATTCTGATCAAATATGCTTTATTCGACCGAATACTTCTAGGCAGTGTATCATCCTTTTGATATATGTAGATGATATTATTATTATTTGGAATGATATTTCCGAAACTGCGCAGGTGAAGGTAGACCTCGGGGAGGCCTTCGATGTGAAGGATCTTGGATTTCTGCGATACTTTCTTGACATTGAGTTTGCCCATAGTAGCAAGAGTATTGTTCTTTTTCAGATGAAGTATGTTCTGGATCTTCTCTCAGATACTAGAATGTTGGGGTACAAACCAACATAATCACTAAGTCTACCTTGCCATCACTAGGCCTGACATTTCATTTATTGTCAATTGAGTTAGTCACTTCATGCACAAATCATGTTAGTCTCATCCTGATGTAGTTTATCATATTCTTTGGTACATCAAGTCTTGCCCTAGACATGGGTTGTTCTATGCATCAGGATTTTAGACTGGTTCTCTAGCTTATTATTTAGATTCAAATTATGGGGAACATGTGACGGTCGATCTACTACCGTCTTTTGTGCTTTTTGAGGAACTCATCTTATCTCTTAGAAGAGCAAGAAGCATATAGTTGTCTCTTACTGGTCAATAGAGGTAGAGTATCGGGCACTAGCACCGACACTTGACACTAGCACTGACACTTGACACGTGTGAGACTATCTGGTTACAATCGATTCTTGGTGAGTTGGAATTTTCAGTAACTTCTTCATCCATATTATATTGTGATAATCAATCGTTATTCAACTCGCTTTTGACTTTGTACTACATGAGAGGAAGAAGCATATAGAGATCGATGTTCACTTTCTTCAGGAGAAAGTTAGTCATGGTATTGTTACTCCATTATTTGTGGGGACCTGTGATCAAGTTGCAGATATTTTCACCCAACCTGTCACTTTATTCATTCTCCAGGACTCTGTTGTTAAGGTTGACTTAGTCGACATTTTTGCGCCTAACTTGAGGAGGAGTGTAGGAGTTAAAGTCTAGTTTTTTATGGTTTTTCCCTTTTTTGTTCTTACTATGACTTTTATGTATTGCATATACCCCTGGTTACGTTGCATTATTATTTGGCTATATATACGGGGCTTTGCACTCAATTTGTATATCCCTTTCACTCATAGATACTCGAAGTTTGCCTAAATTGCGCACAAATTGCATTCCTTTCTCCTACAAAGTATGTAGGGCACCAACAAGAAAGATAAGGCTTTTTGTTTTGTGTTATTTTTGTCTCAAAGAGGTGAATATTTCCGTATCCAATACATAAGAAATATTTGGTTTTGAAATAATGTGAAACTAATTCAACTAAAATGAAAAAAATTCAATAGCTAAGAAACACGAACATGGACACGAATACGATCTGACACGGACAAACATAACATTTTTCAAAAAAATAAGACACTCAAAAAAACATTATACCCTTTTTCCAAGTTTCTTATGGTGATCTAATATATAACTTATTCTATAGCAATTCACCCAAAAGAATTTATTTTGTTGCAAAACCAAATACAAAACCATGACTATAGTGGCTTTCAGGACAAGTACTTGGAAGATCTCACTCCTATGTTTCTTAACATGCATGGTCAGATCTCAAGTACTCAGCCTCCATGAAGCCCAGTGCTCTATCTATATATATGACAGTAGTCCAAGTTTCTGCTTGGGAATTTTTGAGGGTTCATTGCTTGGTTCTTCTTGTTTGCCTTGAAGAACTTGGGGACAAAGAGAGAGAAAGCATGGTGTTGATTTCTGGAAGGCTCTTTCTAGGAGTCTTCTCCTCATGGTTCCCTGAGTTTCTGCTCAATCCTAGCTGTAAATCAGGCAACCATTCCTTATGCTTCCGGTTTTTCTCCTGCATAATGAAAATTAAAACTAAATAATCAAAAATAAGAGGGAATAGGTTGGGTGCATGATTGATGTGGGTTATCGATCTATTCGTGTTGTATCATATTTGGATCATATCATTTAGAATTCGTGTTGTGTTAACATAAAATTGCATGTTGTGTTAACCAAAAACTGAATGACCATGTTTTTTTTTCCAACCAAATCCCTAGGATGATATATATTGACGTGTGTTGAATTCCTCATAGGAAGTTTGCACAAGGATCTTGGGTACATATGTAAGAAAAATGGTCCTAATTGACATCTCATTGCAATCCTTTTGGTAAAAAATATTGGATGTAACTGTTACACCACGTCAATCAATAATGCCATGTGGTGTAACTATCCACTAATACATAAACAAGTCAATAAGAGAATTCCACAAAAATTCATAATCACTGAACTATGAAATACATAACTACCTCCATGATAGAAAATGAGCCTCATTTGATCCATTTTGTAGTTTTTTTATTATATGGTTACATTACATTAGCATTTTTGACATGGTGTAACCGCTACACCCAACTTCTTTTGGCTGAGTCTTGTGGCCACTACAATATGAGTCTCTTATAAATTATAAATCTATTTCATCTAAATCCTAGCGAAAACAAATCAAATCAGTTATAATCTGATACATTTATTATTCTAATTAAGTGATCATGTTATTTTTAGGTTTGTATCGTGTCGTGTTAGTGTTAATGAATAAAATTGACACCCCAATCATGAGAACAATCTGAAATAGTGTCTTGATATGCAAAAAATTAATTACCTCAAGTCGAAACGGGGCCTCAAACTGAGGCTCAAGTATGTGGGACTTGATCTTAGGATTAGGCATGTGGGAGTGAAATTGTCTAATCCTTGTGCTGCTTCTCCATTTCCACTCAGCTTGCTGCATGAAGAAGGCTGCCCCAGTAGACCTTGATGTTGTACTGTTTTGATGAATGAGGGACTGAATCCTTTTCGCTTTCCATTGATTTTCAATGATTTCACTTGGAGGCCACTTCTCTTCAAGAAACTGGCTTGGTCTCAAGGGTCCATTTTTGGTGCTTATATCCATGACATGAATGTTCTTCAAAGGAGATGGATTGTCTTGATTTTGAAACATCATTGTGTTGATCAGGTTGTTGTTTTGACTTGTGTCTTTGCTTATGAGAGAACTTGGTCTTCTCATGTCTGACAACAATTCTTGCTGTCTGGAAGAGAGAGAGAGTTAGGAATATATGGAAACAAATATATTTCCTTCAATTTTGTTATGATTCTAAATGTCCCACATAGTATGGATTTTGATGTGTATGAGCTCTAGGGTACACTGTCCTGATTTAAATGTGAGTTCCACCAGTGGACTCATATCATAAGATATCAAAGCCTGGCACCACATCGAGTATAGGATGGGATATTATATGGACTGTAACACTGTGGTCGCCATCGTGGAAGGGGCGACTCATAAGCCAGATTAAATTGTTGGCATTTTTGATGGGAAACGTTATCGAGCCACAGTGGGTTGTCGTAAACATTGACTGCGAAAGAGTGGTGGTACGTTATGAATCTATGTTTCTCACCGAGTTAAGTACACGTTTGACGACGTGCATATGAACTCTTCACCACCCTTTTCTTACAAGTCGGTTTTTCAAATGTGAGTTTCTGTTCATATCAGGAAGATGGTTACCTTGAAGAAACAGCTTTGAGATCAAAAGCAGTGGAGAAAGGATGTTGTGGAAGAATCTGAGCATGATGGCCTTCTAAAGAATTCCTTGCCAGAACAATCCCACCACTTTCCATTCTCAAGTTCTGAAGAGGACTAGTCCTTTGACTCAAAATGCCTGGAAAGTAATTTCTTCCTTGCATCACTCTACTTCTTTGGCATAAAACTGTCAAAGGAAAACAAAACCTGTGAACTTGTAATACTTGGTTTTGCTGAGCTAAAAAAAAAAAAACTGAGTTTTTACTGTTTTACCTTGCCCAGAATCATCAAGTTTCTTACTTCTATACATCTGATATGGAAAATGAGTGATCAGAAAGAGTAAAACATTAAGAGAGAGTATTAGATCATCAAGTTTCTTCTATGGAAATGAGTGATCAGAAAGAGTAAAACATTGACAGAGAGAATTAGACTAACAAACTCTCAAACCACGTCAGTACCTGCAAGTGACTCTTTACGTGCGCAATGCCAAGTCCTTTTACATTCATTAACTGTAGCAGTAATTTGGGTGTCGCTTCTGCACACAAAGCCAAAGACAGTCTAAGTTCTTAACCAATAGAAATGTAATGCGCCGGCCGTATGTACAATATTATTTATTTTGGGATAGATTCGTATTAATGAAATGAAGGTTTAAAGTTCAAATCTATCACACACGCCAATCCCTTAAACCTAAATGGCCTCATTTGATGCCTATCCTGACCCAAATAACGTGAGACTCTAGAGAACAATTTCGTTATTTTAAAATAATCGAAAAAAGGTTGATGGATGAAGGAATGACAAATGATTATGATTGCTGAAACCGAAAAAAATCAAAAACCATCGATTACCTTTTGAATCAATTAAACTGGTGATTAGTCAAGTATTACTGGGAGAGAAGCAAAGCTTTGTGGACAGCTTTGCTCCACTGCTCACAGAGTATGTGGCTTCCATAACGCAAAGTTCAATGACTCTAATATCATCTGAAGGGCCCTATTATGTGAAGGGCTTGATAAGCTCGATATTGTACTTTTATCGTACAATACTTTTTAGTAGTTTGAAGTTAACTCAAAGTGAAAAATGTTATTTAATGCAAGTACGGACCTCACAGGAGAAATTATATTGATGATGGATTCGGATTGCCAAGACACATATAAATGTCTAAGTGAACTTACTCTCATGCCCACCAAGTCTTTCAATGGCATGGACAAAGGAGAAATGGAGTTCAGGAGTCCAACGTAACCGAGGCATTCTCGAACAAGCATATTGTCGAACTTTAGTCTTCTTTTCCTTTCCTCCCCCACTATTACTATCATTTTCAGAATTCCCTTCTACTGTTTTCTCCCCATCCTCAATACTGAGGTGATCAGCAACCTCAGTATCGCCATGATCATCGACTTCGGTGTTGGCTTCTTCGTTCAAATCGAAGGATGAAAGTTTCTGCAAAGACATTGATGATGTGTTTTCGGCTTCTTCTTCTTCTTCACTTCTATCACTCTTTTTATTGTCATGAATCTTTAATCCTTCAGTCATGGATGCACTTATTCTGTTATGTAATCACTTCACAATGTAGATTTTCTTCCAGAGATACACTTCTGCGGAGCAAAATGTAAGCTTATATAGGAAATCAATTGGAAAAAAAAAATTATATAGGATGCCATGCCAATTGTGAAGAATGTAATGTAAGATTGCTGAAGGAAAATTTTCATGGCGAAAAAGATATACAAAAGTGACAAGAAGTGCCAATTAAAGATCAAAGTTAGCAATAAGTAGTTGTTTTCAATCTCTATTTAGTTCATATTTAACATAAAATCATAGTGTGAAATTGTGATCAAATTCAGTGCTTTTTTTTTTTGGTATATACCTACTGCAATGACTCGGGATATACTTTGTATAGATGTATTATTCTTTTCGGTTAATGGAATCATCTTACTTATCACAAACAAAAACTAGTTTAACACAGTGTATGTCCTATTATATACATTCATCCCACTAGTACTACCCTACATGCTGTATTTTTGAAATGATTGTAATCTAAATGTTGTTGCATCTACTAGCTGTGGGAATTTTATATGTGATAACATGTCTTTTAGAAATTTAATGCAGAGTGCACAAAATTTGTTAGAACATTTATTACTGATTCCTTGTTGATCAGATGCTTCATCAACCTATATAAATTGAAGTAGTTAGGAAATAAACTATTCCAGATGGCCAAATAGTTATATCTTATGGTTTGAGTAGGTATAAACTTTTGCTTACTTAGTAGAAAGTCAATACTGATTGAACCTAAAAAAATGAAATGCAATCATTAGCCCTGCCGCCCCAACCCCCCCAGCTGCCGGGTGGGGTTGGGGGGCTCTAAACTTAAAAGTTCTGATTAAAAAAGAAAAACAGTTAAGTACTTGCCAAGAAAATGGGAAGAGGCCAGAATGAATATTTGATAATTATATGATTATCCCAATGCTTGTGAAGTAGTTGATGTTTGCGATCTTCTCTACCATTAATTTCTTCAGAAATTCTGCAAATTTGATGTGATAAGAGAATGATTTAAAAATGTTAGCGAAGCCTAAAAGGACTTAATCTGAAACAATAGTTGCATAATGTCATCAACACATGCGTATTAGTTGGATGTCTCGATGACTATTTCATATGTAATCACACAAACGACTAGAACGCAAGAAAAATCCATAGAGTATGCATAAAACATATCATAGAAATATGATTTCTTAAACTTGAGCAGAAGAGAAGTTACAAAAACAATTAGCAGAAGGTCATCATATTATTATTTCATAGCAAGCTTTAAGAAATCAAAACCATTACATCACCAACATGAACTTATATACTTCTCTATAGCAATAATTTTTGAAATTCGGGTTCTAAAGCCATAAGGAAAATGGATTCAAAAGAAATCCCCCACCCCCCCAACCCCAAAAAAAAAAAAAAGAAATCAAAGGAAAACATGTAGACAAAACGGACAGAAATAAGCAAAACCTTTGTGCCTTGTAAAATGAACTAATTAGGTCGCCAGTTAATAAGCTATAGTAAGCTTGATGTCAACAATAAGTTTTAGCCAACACAGATCAACCAAACACTGCTATCCTCTATACAAAATAGATCAGATGCACAAAAATATAAAATGACACAATTTCCATAAATTAGGGTTGGTTCAGGATATTCCAAACAAAGCCTGTTTTATTTATTTGCCAAAAAAAAAAATGATACTATAAAAAATGAACTTTAGCAGGAATAGCTAAAGTTCAGATTCAAAGCATCTGAACTTTATTTCTGGGCAATTTTTTTCAAGATTGCTCCATGTACCCTTCGGGGTGTGCTTTAAGCTTTCATGTAATATCTTTGTTTTTTCAGAAATGAAAGTAATTTACTTACCCAAAAAAAAAACTTTATTTTTGCATATGCTGCAACAAGGAAAATTGTAATTCTTTATAGGGTGGAAGAACTTTTATTTTCTCTTTCTCTAAATATACAAACCAGTTATGACATAGCTGCTTCAATTGCCCCTTTCCTTGATCTTCATCAGACAATCACTTGCTGCAGTTATAAGCATACATCAGTCTGAATTCTTTCATAGTTCATACCCACAAAAGTATGAACTCTAAGGATCTAGCATATGAGCGAACGGTCAAATGGGAAGAGAGAGAGAGAGAAAGGCTGTTGTGTCTAGGAGGTTTGTGTTTCATTCAACCATGGAATTGAAGTTTGATGCCAATAGTCATCACAAGCTTTTCAGAATTTCCTAAGACTTTCATGGGCTTCTTTAAGAAATCAACATAGGTCGGTCAGTCCTTCTGTGCTCATCATGATTCAATAATTCTTACATTAAGGATACAGATGAGGCTGGTGACTTGGTCCCTTTGGCTGTTGAATATCATGTGACTTCTCTTCTCAAAAGTTTTTTTTTTCTCCTTTACACCAAATCTTTCGACATTTCTCTCTCTCTCTCTCTCTTGCATATAATTATCTTAATTGTTTGACCTATGCTTTAGATTATTCTCTATTTTATTATGATAAACAGATTCTTCTTCTTCTCTTTGTCTTTTTGTTTTTTTTTTAAATTTAAATTTGTCACCTCAAGAACCTATCAATTTCTTCTTACCTAAACTAGACTTTCTTCCCACATCATAACCCTTATTAACTATCCCCATGCTTTCATTCCTATTCATCAATCCATATTTTATTTTGCCAAAATATTCTATTGTTAAATCATGAAAACACAGCATTGATTGAGATTTTCAAAATTCTTCGGGGTGCAAGTGGTGGGTAATACTTAGAAATGGGTCAATTTTGGTGGGTATTTAATCATTTTACAAAAAATAGCATCCATAATTTTTCAAGCATTATTTTAGAAGCTTGATGAAAAATTGCTTTCACACAGTACATGCATGCACAGTTGAAAAATTAATCAGTCTTTAAGTGCACACTTATGATTGGATTGGTGGCTTGACTCTTGTTCACACAAGAGAGAGATATATTTATAGAGAGAGAGAGAGAGAATGAGAGATCATTTTAGCTTGAACTCAAAAAATGTGACATCAAAGTGACGATAAGCATCGTGTTATTACTGTCATGTTGTATTGTCATTTAACAGTAAATCAATTTGTAGACAAATAGACAACACATAATTTAGTAACCACTATAACCATCTAAGAAAATAAATGCCCATGTAAAAAAAAGTGAAGTTTATATTCCCCACTGGTAAATTTATTATTGAATAGTGATACATAGTATTATCATTATATTAAAGATTTACTCGATTGATTGCTCGCTTGGTTTTTATTATCTTGTGTTGAATACTTTATACTATACTAAATGTAAATCAAAGGACACAATCTTTTACTCAAGAGTTATACATAGTTTTCTGAAATCAAAGGTCACCACTATTCAAGTATGCATCATCACAATTTATATGAACACCACAGCACTTAAGCATGAATAAACACAATTTTATGCATGAATCATCGACATGATTTGTGTCACGACTCCTAACTTTCAAAGGGGTGTGCTTTTGCTTTTAAATAGATTAGTTGGTATATACGTGTTTTGCACGTCGACAATCTCATTAAGAATATTTTATTTAACACCAAAATTAGAAAAAGTAATCTCGACATTACAAATAGTTGAATTTAACTTAATAAAATTGTGATTTTAATTTCTTTTTTTGGAGGGTGGGAGATCTAAGGCTAAAAAAATTTCAATCTCTATTTACTTGGCTCAAAATAAATAATATTTTTCAAAGGTACATAAACCAATGCCTTTTTAGATTTTCATTATTCAATATAAGCTCAAGACCATAAAAATATGATACAAAAATTCAATCAAAGTATTAGATAAATTATTGTGATTCCAAAACCATAATTTGAGTATATTAAGCAAAAATAATAGGATTAAACTCAATAAAATAGTGTCTATATATTGATCATTATTTTGTAAAATCTAATTATATTTGACATTATAAATATACACTTAATAAAAAGATAGACTATCTAACATGCAGTTATGCCACATACATGACATGCTCACTTGAAAAGAGAATCACAAAATTTTTCTTCTCTAATTACTTGTTGTTCAATGCTTTTGTAGATTTCTTGAAATATTTTTCCAAGATAGAATGAAAAAAAAATTGAAAAGTAGAAGTTAAAAGTAATTATCCAACCATCAACATACAAGGATAAGCCAATAGCTCTTTTTAGTTTTGGAAAAATTGCACACCCTCAAACATATAAATAAGGATAAAGGTGATTGCATAAAAATCGATTTTTACGATATAGAAAGGATATTTTCACATCAAGCACGAACATTTTTATAGCAATTCTTGAAATCCAATAGGAAAGACAGAAAAAGTTTTAATTTTTTTTGTAGTTACCATAAACTCTTGATTTTTTCATGTCCATAAAACCCAAATATCAAATTAGGAGAAAATTTTCAAGCTTTCTTGTAGCCTCAAAAAAACTATTGGCCTAAAAACATTAAAACCTTAAATAAATTCATATGTTTAGAATTAGAAAACCAAAAATTGCTGATTCCATTATGTGGGAAAACAAAAAGGTGGTAGTGTACTTAGAGCTAAAATCAATAATTAAAGTTGAAATAAATACATGAAATATTAAGTATATGTACACAACTAATTTAAGAAGATGAAAGGATAGAAGAGGAGTATGTAATTAATTGGAGAAGATAAAAAACAATTGTTTAAGGGAATTATATGTTTTATGAAGGATATTATAGTCAATCAAAAATTTTTCACTTATATTTCTTTTATTAGTAGTATAGATTTATTTTGACTCTATTTGAAAATTCAATTCAATAATTTATTGATCTAATATATTATAGTCGTTGGATTAGTACTAAGTCTCAATGTTGAATTGTGAGTATATTAATTCAACAAATTAAGTCAATAAACTACATACAAATCGTATGTTCCTCTTAACCCTAAAATGATTCTTACATAAAGATATTTGGCTTTGATGGTCAAGAGAGCTATAAATTACCTATGTCAAAAGTCAATTTGCTCTTTCACAGAGAAATTATTGGGTGATCAACGGACACTAAAACCAATGAAAATTTGTCACACGCACATGAAAATGGATAGCATTTTTTGACAATGTACAATATTTTGTGTGCAATGGTACCTGCCAAGCACTCAATATTTTCTACAATTCACAAGCAATATTGGGTAGGGAAGCCCTATTTATGCCCCCACCAAGAACTTGAAAGAATAAATAATGTTTACCCACTTACTGCCCTTTCCTTTCTTTCCAAAGGAGAATCAAGATTCAAGGAAAATGAGAAGTACACCATATTTGAATTTAATATAGTTAGTGGAGGGTCTGTATTATGAGTTCATTAAAAAAGAGTGTGTGTGTGTGTGTGAGAGAGAGAGAGAGAGAGATTGAAATGAGGGATAATATGTTGGGATTGGTGGAAGCTAAGACTGGATTGTCTCCCCTAAGATATCCAAAGTTGATCTATTCTTTAACCTTTTCCATTCAATCCAAAGAGATTACTTTGGAGAATTTGGCCTCTTTCTTCAATGAAAGAGAAGGTCGTAGGAAAGGAATCACTTGTGTTACCCTAAAAGACACCCAAAACTGTCTAAATATCCCTTACGTCTGCACACACACACACACACACACACATATATATATATATAGAGAGAGAGAGAGAGAGAGATTTGAAGGACTACGAATTTATAAAGGAGGTTTAATACAGAGAAGTATTGGAAGTGTTAAAAATGGCGTTTTATGTATGGGGGGCTTAATTAAGATAATGAGAAACAGCAAGCCCTACGTAGATAGAAGACATATGTTATTTTGTTTTCTCAAGTGCATGGGAGGGTTGACATTTCTGTTATTAAAATGCTCGTAAAGAACCCGTTGAAAGAATTACTTCTATTTTATTATTTCATTGACGACCATGTCCAACCTAACCTTGCATCATCACTACGTATTAGTTATATCATGCTTATTTCATAAAAATGCATGTTATATATATGTATACACATACACACTAGCGGTAATTTATGTCTAAAGACACGTTGTAATGTGAATAATTTTGAGATGGATGTTGTTGACCGTTAGATGAATTTATTTGAAATCATTGAATAAATTTAATGAACACTGCCCATTTTTATATTTTATATATATTGAAACGAAAAATCCATCCAAATCCTTCTCATTTATTCAATTTTTCTATTGATCTGTACACATATAATGGATGATGATCCTATTCTACATAAACTTGGGCTGTCGGTGGAGCCAGCCAAAACATTGAGCTGCTCCATTTTCTGGTCCGTAGGGCCACTAGACTTTAAGCCCAGACCCAAGGGTGGGCCAAGAGAGTTTGAAACTAAAAGCAATATCTCTAAACATGATCTTTCTATATTTAATATTATAAAATAATAGTAATTAACTCTCGATTAGTTGGTGTTTGATAAAACTGAAAACTGAACATTGAAAACTGAATACTGAATTTTAAATATTGAATAATTAATTTTTTAATTCGCAAACTGTTTGGTAACAACTGAAAATTAAGTATTGAATTTAATTAAACTATTTGACAAATATAAGGAACTGAAATTTAAAAATTATTATTATTATAATTTTGCTCTTTTCTTTAACCATCTCTCTGCAACTACCTTATTCCTATTACCACCATAACAATGGTGGTGGTAGTGGTGATGGCGACAATGGTAGTAGTGGTGGCGGTGCCTATGGTATAATGGTAGTGGTGGCGACAGTGATGGCGATGGTAGTGATGGCAATAACACTATGGTGGTGGCAGCAACAATGTGGTAGTGACGGCAGTGACACAATGGTAGCAATAGTGGTGGCGATGGTGGTGGTAGTGGTGGTGGCAATGGTAGTGGTAGTGGTGATGGTGGCGGCGACGACGATTGTGGTGGTGGTAACAGTGGCACAATGGTGGTGATGGTGGTGGTGGCTATGACACAATGGTAATAAGGGTGACGGTGACACAATAGTGGTGACGATAATGACAGTGATGGTGGAAGAGGTGACGACAATAGTGGTGGTAACAATGGTGGAGGCGACAATGGTAGTGATGATGGTGAGAGTGGCACAATGGTAGTGGTGGTGGCAGTTGTGGTGGTAATGGTGGTGGCGGCGATGGTGGTGGTAGTAGTGGTGGCAGTGATAGTGGTGATGGTAGTGGTGACGGTGGAACAATGGTAATGGTAGTGGTGGTACTGATAGCGTTAGTGGTGGTGGCAATGACACAATGGTGGTGAGGGTATATTTGTCCATTATAAAAAATTAATAAAATTCTTACTAACTAACATTTTCACCATTAAGTGATAAGTAGGTGACTTGCTACTTAAAATTTTAGCCTATTTTTAAGAAATGCTTAAAATATTAAGTAGTATGACTTTTAGGTCATCAAACGAGTTTAATTTAGGGTAAATTGCACCGTTAGTCCATTAGGTTTGACACTTATTGCACTTTCACCCCTGATGTTCTAATTTCGGCTATGTCGTCCTCCATGTTGTAACATTGACTGATTTTCATCCTTACCCCTAACTGCTGTCTAAAATAGTGACGAAAAATGGCACGTGAACGGCATGTGAGACTTTGCTGCTAGAATCATACGGTAACTTTCAACTGGGTTGTTTTGAATTACTTAATTTTTTTGAAGGTTGAGCAATATTTTTGTTGTATGTAGCAAAATGGAGGATGTGGGTATTTTGAATGGGACCCTCCCATGTGTAACTGATCGAAGAACATCATCTCTGGCTTGATGGTGAGAATCAAAAGAATGAAAGCACAGTTGACAAGAATTCGACATAGAGAGAAGGTGTTGGGGATTTTGTTGATTCTGACATGGTTGGTGGTGTTGATGAATTGGAAGAACTCAAGTGTGAACAAGAACATAGAGAGTAATCATGCACTTTGTTATGAATTAGGAAATTAAGAATCTCATGTGATGTTTGGTTAGTCCAGAAAGGGTGTATTGTTTATGTAATGTGGTATTTTGTTTAGTCCATAAGGGTTTGTTTAGATGTGCAGAAGGGTGTGTTGTTTATGTAAGTAGGAAAAGGCATTTGTGTCATTTAATTATGAATGAAGTTATCTTGTCTTCTTTTCCAAAGATCTACTTATTTGTTTGATGGAATGTACTGTGAAAAATAGAAGAATACAAGAGGCAAGATAGTTGTACATAAACAAAAGAGTGGTTCATAGACATGTTCAAGCTACCCAATTTTATTACATTGTTTGCAAAAACAACTACTGGAACAACTACTTCCAGTAGGTTCCAAAATGTGGCATCTACACCATTATCTGTATTATACCCCTTTCCCCTTGGCCTTCACGCCACCATTATCTGGATTCCCTCAATTCTTCCCCTTTTTGATATTAATTGAAGTGATGCAAGGGTTGTATAGCTCTGACCTTTCCACAAGAATAGTGTTGGATTTGGAGTAGAACGAGGTGGTTTGAACTGTTGTGATGATGTTGGTGGGATAACATTTCTTTTGACCTGTAACTTTTCTCTCCTATGTGACTGAACACATTTTCCAACTCTAACACTTGCATTTGCACTAGCTTTCCCAGAAGTTTGAGTAGTAACAAACCTAGAAATTAGAGTAGTAGCAAACCCAAAAGTTTGAGCAAACCTAGAACTTGCCATACAACTTCTTTTGTTGTCTCCTTTTTCACCACATTTGCCACACTTCAATGAAATCTAGACTTTTCTCAATTTTGTGGGATTTGGATTGTGATTTGCTGCCTTATCTGGTTCTCTTATTCTCAGTTTCTTTGGCTTGCCTGGCTACTTATGGTGAAATGGAGGTAGAAGAAGAACTTCATTTAACTTAACCCATAACTTGGACCCATTTATTGGATGAATAATATTTTCATAAGCCTTTAGGTAAGTGTCCTTCGTATACCAGTCATCCACAAAATTCTCACGCTCATCTCCTTTGTAGGCAATTGCTTGGATTCAATGTGAGCAAGGGATGCCAGTCAAATCCCATCTTCTATAAGCACAAGTATAGTCATTCACATCCACAACAAACTAATCTCCATAACAGTGCTTAACCTCAAACTCTAATCTTCCAGACCAATAAGCAATGCAAAAAGAAGCTTTTTTTCTTATTCTTCTCTAAAATTTCATGGATTTTAGGGCATATCTTACCTTCCCATTTTTTCATTATATCCCTCTTTGCAAACAACCTCCTTATCAGTAAGTGGTTTATCCTCTCCAACATTGATATAATGAGTTTGTCTCTTACCCCAAGTATATAGGCATTGAAACATTCAGCCATGTTATTCAGAAGTATGTCACACTTACATAATATGCTGAAGTGTGACCTAGACCAGTTCGTTTGATGTTTATCTTTGAACCAGGCAAATGTCTGTGAATCTTCATTTTCCAGTTTCATCATATTCTCATGAAACTGGTTGACATAAGTTGATCTTGCAACAACCCAAACAATGTCCTATAGTGTCTTTCCCTTGTGTTTAATCTTGAAATTGTTGTGCAGATGCCTAACACTATGCCTATGTTCAACATCAGGAAGTAACTCCTGAATAGTATGCTCCGGTCCTTATACAAACACAAAACTCAATTAGTTATGCTATAACAAGTGTAAAACAAACATGTTTGACAAAATAATATTTAACAAACATACCTTATGTTTGTCGGATTTTATAGTCCAACCATATGAATTGGTTATTCCCAGATCTTCTACCAGAATGGTTAGAAACCATATTCATGTGGTTATGCCTTCTATCTCAACCACATCATAGGCAATTGGGTACATGCTATTATTAGCATCTATACTAATTGCTGAGAGTAGTTGTCTATTATGTATACTTTTCAGATGACATCCATCCAAGCACACCACATGTCTGCATGCTTCCTTAAATCCCCTCTTCAATGCATTTAAACATATGTACAATCTCTCAAACCTAGGTTCACATTCCATCTTAGACACATCATCCATTTTTATTAGTATAGTACTATTTGGGTTATTCCTCTTCAATTCATCACAGTAATCTCATAGTTTAACATACTGCTCTGCATGGCTACGTTCAACAATTTGCATAGCTTTTTTTCTTGCCCTATAACATTGATTCCTAGAAAAACTCAATTGATGCTCTTTCATTACCCTTTCTATAATTGTCTCAACAGGCCAATTGGGATTCGCTCTAAAGTCATCCAGGTAAGTTTTGGCTAGTCAATTAAAATTTGTCATTGGATTCTTAAATGACCTGCCACATGTATGTTCACCATTGAATGTTTTGTTGTCATCCATAACAAATGCAAAAATCATCCACTTGCACTTTCTCCTACAGACTAGTCTAACCCTCACATGATCATTTTTCTTAAAGGTTATTTGTTTTCTCTCCCTAATTGAATATTCATTTATTGCTTCTTTGAATTCATCAGGTGATCCAAAAAGCAACCCAAGCTTGAATGTTGGATTCTTCATACTAGTCTCAACCCTAAACTTAGGGTACTTTGGCATTCTTCTTTTAGTACTATCTTCATCTGATGAGGAATCATCTATACTCAATAGTTCATCTGGTGGTCCATAATCAGACTCAACCCCATCATTCTTAGCATGACCATGGTTTGTTGATTTCTCCTTTTCCACACCCTTTCCAATGTTAGTCACACCTGCCCATTCAGCATCTATGTCAACGTAAGTGTCAAACATTTTTCATCTTCCTCTACATCATATTCACTATCATGAAAATCAGATCTATCAAAAGTTTTATTGTCTATCTCAGCTCTAACTCTTTTATTCTCTATGTCAGCCCCAACTGTTGTATTGTCTCTCTCAACCCCACCTCTTTCATTCTCTATGTCAGCCCCAACTATTGTATTGTCTCTCTTAACCCTAACTCTTTCATTCTCCATGTCACCCTCAATTGTTGAACTGTTTCTCTCAACCCCAGCTCTCTCATTCTCTATGTCATTCCCAATTGTTGCACTGTCTCTTTCAATCCCAGCTCTTTCCTTCTCAACATACTCCAGCAAATATGGTTGCTTATTATTTCATGCACTACATACAATAGTTACTTGACTTTCCTCTAAACCATTTAAATCTTCATCATCGATCTCCTCAATAATAACAGAATGCCTAATCCCAGTATCTACATCATTTCTTACCCCTTCCTCATCACATACGTCAAATAGTGATCTATGTTCAATGTATACATTAGCAACTGTGTTAGGATATAATGAATTAAATGTTGTGAAGACTTGAGTATCAATATATAGAAAAATCAAACCATTATCCAAATTCTTGCCTGGTATCAAATAAAGATACCTGAGAATCTCTTCATCATATCCTAATCCCCTCGCCATCTCATCAAGTTCCAGTAAAGACATTAAGTCTGGATGTCTGTGGTGGAAGACGTCGACCCTACTTCTAACATATTTCTTATGTGGGTTATCTTGAAATTCCCCATCATGATGCATTTTCAGTGTAAAATATTTGGAATGTGGCTCTACAAAACATAATGGTTACCACTCCATTATCAAACGTTGTGACCATATGCATGTATAACAAAACAAAATCTAGGGACTCCATGCATATAAAACAAAACATTTGTATAAAATAATCACATATTGCATGCAAGAACTATTTCGTATATGTCCAATTCATGAAATTTTTTTTAGCAAAATCGATGTGTTAAAGAGTGAATAAAAAATTTATTCAAGCTTTCATGGTCCTTAATTTACCGTATTCTGGATTGAAGTCATCGTCTTCACATCGTTGACAATTGAAGCAGCCAGCCATTATAGGAGTATCTAAAACCTTACTTAGGTGAGAAACTACTCTTGATTTCAATAGCACCAGAAGAAGAAGAAGAATTCCCCAAATCCAATTGTGAATCCTAGGTCTCAGGCAACTGAAAAGGTTAAATAGGTGGGAAGGAGCATTAAATGACTATATTTTCATTCTTGTTCCATCACATGCTGCTCGCATGCCATTTTCCATCTCTATTTTAGATGACAGTTAAGGGTAAGAGCGAAAGTCAATCAATGTTACAACATGGAGGATGAAATTGTCAAAATTAGAACATCAGGGATGAAAGTGCAATAAATGTCAAACCTAAGAGATTAACAGTACCGTTTACCCTTTAATTTATTAAATGCTTAAAATATTCAGTTTAAGACTTAAGTGGTATTATCAAATAGCCCCTAAGAACTTAAGAATCTGAAAAGGCCAATGCCATTGGATTTTACAATTTGTATTTTACTCCCCAATTTTTTGAAAATTTATCTAGGGGCCTCACACTTATTTTGGGACCATATGACATGTTGAACTCATAAAAATCTTTTGGAATTCGTTTGCCAATTGTTTTTTTCTAATTTACAAGAGGTGAAATATTTTTTTTTTCTAATTTGTCTCACTTTCTCAGTGAGAAGAAAGTGATGTAATAATATTTTGGTCAAATCGACCTTCAGCAAACCTAAGCCTAATCATCGAGTTGGGAATTTAATGGGATACCAGTTGAATTTCTCATTATGAAGTTGGAGGTTTGATTCTTGAAGTCTACATTAGGACTCAGTGATTGACTGCTATGTTAACCTAGCTAGGTTCGTTCTCAAAAAGAGTTACGAGAGTGGTCAAAAGCCTTATGATCTCACTAGTGAAGGCCTAACGGGGTAGTCTTTGGGCACTCTCCTTTGCCCCCACCCCTATTTTTGATTAACAAAAAAAAAACCTAAGCCTAACTTATAAAGATCTTATTGATAACCCAAATAAGATTTTTTAGTTTTTGAAGGGATAGAGACAAATTTATAAAGTTCAGAGGCACAAGTTGTACAAATGTTGTGGGATACATGAATTTCATTTTTTTTTTCAACACAAACACACACAATTAACGCACAAATTTTTGTAGTTTTCTATTCTTAAGCAACAAAACTCATTGAATTCTATTGAGAGTTAGAACTTCTTGATTGGCCTCTCAATAAATCAAATTCTGATTTGAATTTGAATTTGAATTCGAATTCGAATTGGAATTCAAATTCAATATCTCATATCTTATATTTGATACGAATTCAAATTAAACTTTTAAAATTGAATTTAAATCCGAATGAATAGAATCCAATGCAAATCCTATATATTGAGCGCAAACTTCTTGGAACTGAACTCATTGACAAAAGAAGTCAACACTTGAAAGTTGAAACAGTGGGCAAAGAGGCTTAAAGTAACTCCAACCCCACTAGCTAAATCCCCATTCTTAACTATTTTGGTGAGGCAAGCTCCAAAAATCTACTCCAACTATCTAGCCATCCTACTTGCTAAAATGAAGAAGACCCTTCATGCTCGCCAGATCTGGAAAAGGAGAAAAAACTCGCTAGACTTCTTGTAGTATCTTTCTTCTTCTTCATCTTCTCCAATTGTTGTCTTCGTCTTTCTCCAAGTATTGTTGTCATCCAAGTGTTGCTTCTGGGTACATCTTTTTCTCCCCACCCCCAAACTACAGATTCCCCCCTCCACCCATTCTGAAACCCTCCTCTCCCCACCCATTTTGCATTCGAACATCCCTCCCAATTCCAAAACCCATCTCCCCCATTTCTAAAACCTCCTCCCCCCAAATTTTGAAACCCCTAACAAATTCTAAAACCCCCCTCCAAAAATTTTGAAAACTCCTATAAGTATTTTGGGAAAATCTTAGATTTATGAGACATATTGTATAATTGATTTTTATTATTTAATGTGGATGAGTGTTAAATAACCATTAAGTTGTATTATTTAAAGTTTGATTAGAATTATTATTATGGTATAATTTTGGTTGGACTGATGATTTGAGTTGAATTTTTAAATTATATTATTGAAAATTAGTTAAAGTTAATTGAAGTAGTCAGCTAAAATAGAGAGTATGGTTGGAGTAAATTTGTAAAAATGACTAACTAAAATACATAATACAATATTTAAATATATTTTGATTATCCATTTTGAAGAGCTGGGTTGGAGTTGCTCTTAGAGGCAAGCACGCAAGACTAATCGAAGAGAGAGAGACTAGAAAAAGAAATATGGGAAATTGTGAACGATTGTAAAAGCGCATCCGATAACTTCAGATATGGGCCCCCCACCACACTCAAGAAAAACGCGAGAACTCACACTTTGCCATCAATAACTGTTATACAGCCGATGACAGTTAATTAGACCGATACAACACAAGTCCTAAAGTCCTACATGCCATGCACTCACTAAACCCAAAAATAAAAAATAAAATTTATTAGGATTCGTAAAAAATAAGGAAATGTTTCCACCAAAATTGAAAATATAAGAAAAAAATGGAAAGGACCCGAACACTGTTTTGTAGGGTTCGACTCCTCTACGATAGGGCACCAACTGCACGATATGCAGTTTAATAAAACGCCGTCGTTTTACGACAATTTTTCTATTTTTTTTTTGAAAATCCTAGACCAAAAACGATGTCATTTTCCTTCTCTTCTCTATCAACCAAACCCAACTTGATCAGGTACTCTACAACTATCTTCAAAAACCCTCAAAATTCAAAATCCTAAAGTATCTTCTACAACTCCAACACCAAGATCAGGTAGATCTCACTTTCTAGGCCTTGTTTTTTAGTTCGTGTATGTGTGTGTGTGTGTAATATATGTAGGCTATATGTAGAGAGAAGTGCATATCAATTGGTTAAATGTTGTGATGCTATCACATTATCATTTTTGTCATATCTATGTGTTACATGGTCTAGAGCAAACATTCTAGATTGACATTTGCTGGTTTGTTAAACCCCTGCATATCAATTACAAGTCTCAGGCTCTTGTCTGGTCTCGTATTTGTAAGGACCTACTTTGTGAGTAATTATGAGTTTGTATGCATCTTCATCTGTTATCTTTATATCTTTTACTAAAATAAATGCATTATTCACTTTACCAAGTATAATTGTGCAGATATTGTTGCCTCATTTGCTTCTGATATCTTCTTCTATATCACTATCTATGTGATGAAAAAATAAATTGCTGCATATTTAGGGGCATTTGGAAACCCTGTGAAAATTATTCTACTTTCCATGAATTTAGTTGATTGATCCTTTCAGCTAAAATGTATGACAACTTATTTAGAATACCTACCACTCAAAAATCTAGTTAGTTGACTATTTTTTTGCTAAAACCTTTATTATTTCTTGTACTCCTATAATAAAGATGTTTCAGGCAGAGAATGCAATAACTACTCATGACTTATATATGTAGCACTTTATTTGGTTTCGCCATTATGGTTCCAAATCTACATATTTATAAAATAATTTAGAATCCTTTGTTTGGAGCAACATGAATGAATGGACTGCAACTTATAATGTTGAGTTTTAATTACCATTGTCCTTTTCATGTTTGTAGTGTTGAAGAATGACATCTTCAAGCATGACAACAAGTAACGGTGAGTTAAGATATTGCAATACGCAATTCACCAATTGTAAGAAAATAGCGATTATCAAAGTTTTAGAATCTGCAAAAAAATTCTAGAAAGTTATACTACAAATATTCGGATGAGTGATATCAATTTTTTAAGTAGATGAGTCCTACTACTCTGCCTTATTCAAAAATTACAAATGAAAAGATAGATGTACGACGAATTGAAAAAGATGTAATGACATTGAAGTTGAAGATTGAAGAACTTTCTAATATAGTTCAACGTGTTGAGGCAAATGAAGGACCAATGAAGTCATAAATGTTTGTAGCCACATTACTAGTGGTGATGCTTTTGTTTGTGATTCTAGTGAAGTAAAGATGTAAGAACAATGATGTGTTGATGAAACTTGTGTTGTGAATGAACTTGTGGGTTTCATTTGAATGAACTTGTGTTATGAATGAATTTGGGTTTTGTATAGTGTTGTGATTTGAAAAAAATATCATGTTCATCAAAAAAAGATCATGTTCATTAAAAATACAAAATACATGGGTTTTAACAAAATATCATTTCAATTGTTATCCTCCAAGCTTCTAGTATCTCCTAATCCAACAAGTAACTAGTATTACCCAAGCATTCTTACAACTGGTGCTCATTGAACATGTCACAAATCATTACTAAATAAATCATTTCATAAAAAATGATTCAGCATTATTTAAAGAATGCACATTTGTTGAATCAATCAGAGTACCCTACATTAATGGGAAAGGGTCAGACAAAGAAACTTGATATATATGTGAAACATCAAAATTAGTAATGAGGTAACATATCATAACACTTTGTAAACTATTTGAACCTTGAGAAGACAATATATTCGAATGACCATATGTTGACGTACACGGATGACTGAAACCATGTACCTTGAATACAAAATCTTATGATAAGTACATTTATATTTACAACAATATGAAGTGAATAAAAATGCCTACGATTATATTGATACGATACCTTAGACATATGTGATGGTTATGAAGCTTCTTTTTTTCTCTTTAGTACTTTCTCATGCCAAGATTTTAGTTGACACCAACCCTTGTAACTTCCCTTTTTTCTTTCTAAACCTTTAACTTGAGAAGGTTTGGGTCAGTATTTCCTATTCTTTCTTCATGGATTGAATCATTGCCACCATCACCAATCGATGTATACATAATATCCACTTGTTTGAACAATTCTTCAACACCACGTGACACCAATTGATATGCAGGTTGAAGACTAGAGGATCGTGCAATTAGTTGTACCATTCTAGGACAAAGCTGTCCGTAACGTGACGTCATCATTAACTTGGGATCCTCTTCATTTGACATGGTACTGGATGCTTTTCATACAACTCTGTCTTGTATCTCGTCTCCATCTCTTACATATGTATTGCTCAAAATTTTGCTTAATATTCATCATGTCCAAGACTTTAAGTGCATGACTACATAATATGCCTTACACTTCAAACTTTCGATAACTACAATTGATTATCTCCTCATTAGCCTTAAGTAACACCAAATACTCTCTATGTTCATCAAATAATCGAACCACAAATTGATGTCACTCATCCAACACATCACCTAGTGTCATAAAAGCACACTAAAAGATATTTATACTCATCTTGAAACAACTCAAATATAGTAGGAGTGTACACTTGTCCTGTGTACACTAACATTAAAGCTTTTTTTAACTTCAATCTAGGTAATTTTTGTCTAACTTGGTATTCTGAGTCTAACTCTTTATACCGCTTATCATTCACAACTCTTTCAAAATGTACAAAGAATTGAACAATGTCATGATCTTGCTTTAAGTACTTTCGTAAGACTGCATTCAAGCTCTCACTCAGTTGAGTGCTTCTCATTCCTACAGTGAAAGTTTTTTTCATATACACATGCTCTGATTTCTCTCGCAATGTCCAAGTGGATTTAATCTAAATATTATCATGCAAATTATACTCCACAAGTAATGATTCTCAAGCCTCAAATAATTCACGTTCTTACTCATATCTATACACACATTCTTTAAATTGAGCAGAAAAATGCGAACCATCCTCAAAGCATTTTGGTAAAGGTGCCAACAACATAACCCATGATATGTCTGTGACATCACTTGAGAAATAGCCTTAGCTATTGCTTGATCTTGGTCGGTGAAGATGGTAATAGGATATTTTCCAAATATAGCTTGTAGGAATGTCTCAAACAATCACTGAAATGATGTTGCCGTTTCATCATACAATGATGCAGCTCCAAATAAGTCTGTCTCCCTAAAATGGTTAAAGCTAGTAAAACAAGTAAATGGTCGATACTCCTTATTCGTTCTGAAAGTAGTGTCAAATGAGATAACATTTCTAAAGTTGTCATAATCAATAATCATCATTGGGTTTGCCCAAAAAATATTAGTAATATGCTCCTTCATATCTAATTGCACTCCATAATAGAATGATGAATTTTTAGCTGTTTTCGTTTAAAAATACTTCAACAAACTACCCGCGTTACCATACCTCAAGTCTCGTTGCCTCCTTTCATGGAGGTAATTCTTTTGGTCTTGACGAGTAAAACCTAAAATTTCCTTTCCTCCCGATTGAGTACTCAAAAGTTCATAGAAAGATTTAAGTGATATTCCACAATCCGCTGTCATATCAATATTAATGTCTTATATTACAGTAACCTTCCATTGAGATGACATCATAAGCATACAATTTGTCATCGCATTTCATCACAACAAATTTGTCAATTTCTTTATTAAGAAATATACACATATGAGCTTAACAATTTGTTCACGTCTTTGCTCGAGGTTTCCTTATTTGCCACTCCCCTTTATCATGAGTCATTTGACCTTGTTTATAATAAACATATTTTCTATAAATGACAACACCATATTTCAAACTTTATTCTGAGATTTTTTCTCACTCTAAATCTCACATACCCTCCATCATTATTATAAAACACATAAACATCTTTTTCAGTATCAAATTGCATATCAATATGAGGTCTATTCTCAGTTACATTAACTCCAAATCATCCATCATAGTATCTACAATAAAAAATTTAATTGAAATGAAATTATGAGATGAATAAAACACATAATATATGTATGACATTCTAAAAAAACAAAAATCAAACTGGAACAACATTGACCACAAAAATAGAAAATATTAATTGTTTCAAGTTCAAGAAAATATTAATGAAAAATGTTTCAAGTTCCACAAAAATTGTTTCAAGTTCTAGAAAATAGAAATATTTATTGTTTCAAGTTCCACACATAATATCTGTCTTTTTTTATAAAAAAAAACTAAAAATTTTATTTCATTTTAAAAGAATATATAATCAGCAAGACAAGCAACCAAACTCTGCTTTGTCTTTTCATTACAAAAATATGAGAATAAATAATTAACAAATAACAATCTTCTTCCTTAAAGCTTTGATGCCCTGCTGATCATGCTATTGCAACCTCCTTGCCTGATCAAGAAAGTTTAACAGACAAGAAAAATCAATAGAAGACTCTTGCTGCACAACCTAGTTGGGAAAGAAATCAACCAAACCATTTGCCTCCCTATATGCATGCACTAAACTAAATTTCATCCTCCCCAATATTTCCTTAATCTGCCTCAATATCCTCCAACATTTTCATGCCCTTAGATAGCCCTTTAACACCATATTAACCATCACCTCCGAATCAGATTCAATTTGAATCTAATATGCCAATCAAATCATGCCTTTCAATAAAGCATAAACCATCCCTAAATGCCCTTAACTCTGCCTTCATATTAGAACATTCATTCTAAAAGAAAGAAGCAACAACTACCAAACCACCCCAATGATTCCTTACCACAACTCCCCCTCATGCTTTCCTAGGATTTCCCTTTGACGCACCATCCACATTCAATTTCAAACAACCAACAGATGGAGGAAACCAGTTTGCCCAAATGGCTCTGATCTGCACCCTCTTATCATTCTCAACCCCCAAATCCTTGAACATTCTTTGACCAAAATCATTCTCACGTACCCTGGCCCTAACACCATAAGCCTACAGCCTCAAAGCAAAACAAACCCTCATAAAAATAGAATACACAGTCAAGCATCCTTCCTCAAACATCCTTTGACGTCTCTCTCTGCATAATTGCCCAAACACCACCAAAACAAGACCTCTAAGTAATATGTTACTCAAAGATTGCTTTCTAAAAATTCTATTCAACCTCAACATTCTCCCCAAAGGACCTTCATTTCTAACAAGCTAAAAACCAAAAAAATTAGATAACTTTTTTCAAACTGACTTAGCAATTTCACAATCAATAAAAACATGTCCCACAGACTTGACATCTTTGCAACACAGTGAACACCTACTGGCTAGACAAACACCAATTTGCTGAAATCTTAAATACATTGGAATAACATTTCTACAAATTCTCCAACCCAGCAATTTCCAACTAGTAAGAGCAGCTTGTTTCCATATAGAAACAACCATTCCATTTTCTGCACCAGGTGTCCTTGCCAATCTCCTTGCAGTTTTAATAGAAAAGCTAACAGACTCACTCAGCTTCCAAATTGATCCGTCATAACCTTCTATAAGACAAATCCCTGTTTTCAGAATTTCTGATTTGATTTGATCAGACACCAGATTACCTAAACTCTGCCACTGCCAGTCTGAACCTATGTAGACTTCTACAATTTTAGGAAAATAAAAAGGCACCTCACCAATCCTATTTATCAGAGGATCCCCAGCTAACCAATTTGAACACAGGAAATCCACAGAGGATCCATTTCCCACAATTTCCAAAGAGTTATTTAAAACAGGTAAAAACCAAGGCTGCAACAACCTCAAACTCTTGGCTTTCCCTGAACTCACACATCTCAACATATGTTGATTTTTAAGAAACTTAGCAGCAAACACCTTAGCCCAAAGAGACTTTTCCTTCAAAATCCCCCAAACCTGTTTCATTTTGAAACAAGCCTGAACATCCTCTAGTCTTCTAAGTCCCAAACCTCCTTCTTGCTTTGGCTTAGTAACCTCTCCCCAGGAAATCCAATGCCTCTTACAGACACCAGCCTTCCTAGACCAAATAAAAGGAAGCCATCAAAGAATTAAGTCTCACCAAAATCCCTTTTGGCAAATTCAAATAGGACATTAAATGCACGGGAACAGCATTTAACACGGCTTGAACTAAAACCACCCTGTCGGCTTGAGAAAGGAGCTTAGCATACCAACCCTCTAACTTTGCCTTGAATTTCAATACAACTCCTTCAAAGTCCCTCAATCTACACCTCCCTTTAATCAAAGGACAGCCCAGGTAAGTAAAAGGACATTATTTCAAAGGAATTTATGCTAATCTAGATAGCACAAATCTTTTTCCCTGAGATATCTTAGAAGAGCACATTAAAGAACTCTTTTGCTTACTCACTCTTTGCCCAAAGCATTTCATGCTTATGTGTATGTTTTCATTTTTCATTATTTTGTTTTTAAGTTTTTAAGTTTAGGTCAAGAACATGAAATGAAAGAACTAAATGAAAAATGAATGATATGAACGAAATCTGGTTTCGATACCGTACCATCATTTGACGAAGAAAAAAAGGGATAAAAGGGAATATCTAATTTTGAGATGAAGAAGGGATATCTGACTTTTTTATTGTGCTAGAATGGTTAGCGTGCTGTTCAATTTAATCCATATTTGTGGCCTTCTGGTCAACAGGTATCAATCTTCCTGCAGTTGATGAAGAATGAGGGAAAAGGCGAGAGAAGCCAAACACAATTGACGAAAAAGGAGGGAGAATGAACATTGTTTGGCGAAGAATAAGCGGGAGAGATGGGTTTGTCTAATTTTTATATGCGATGACGAAAAACGACGTCGTTTCTAGTGAGTTTTGAATAAAAAAAATTTTCAAAAAAAGGCTCAAAACGATGGGATTTTATTAAACCGCATATCATGCAGTTGGTGTCTACGAGCCAAACCCCTGTTTTGTAGGGGGGGCTGGCCCTGGTGTAGGAGTTAGAGAGAGAAAGTGAACCCAACACCATTTTTAGAGAGAAAATAGGGGAGAGAAAATCTTTCCCTCCCTCTTTCAGAAGTGGTGGTCGGAGAGAGGTTCCTCCTCTGAGATCATCCTGAAAAGGGCAGTCAAGAAAGAAAGAAAAAAACTTTAATTTATCAATTAATCTTTTTGTTTTTTCTTAGCTGCTATTTTGGTCTCACCAATCTCTCCCTACCTAATCATCATAGTCTTCATCACCATCATCATAACTCATTTCTCACCCATCAACATAATCACTATCACCCACCATTTTCTTTTTTAAATTCATTCTTGGAAATTTCAGGGAATTAAGCTTTTTTCATTTCTACCCTTTGGAAGATAAACAATTATCCACCAGCAACAATAACAGCAAAGACTTGTGTAATTGACAGCCCTTTGCCCCTCTTTTTTGGTATGCTTATTCTGCATTTCCTTTACATTTCATAACCTTTTGCTTTTTGTTAGATTGCTTGTTATGTGGGTATTCTCTTATCATCTCTTTCTATTAAAGATTTCGTTTTGTGACTTTTAAGGTACTCTTGTTTGTGACATTTGATCTGCATTCAAGAATGTTAAATTCGTATTTTTTTGGGCAATTTTTCAACTCTCAGTTGAATTTTGGAGGTTATACATTGAGCCGGGTGGATGCCAGTTTTGGTAAAAACGGAGGTCTTGTAGCCTAAAGTTAAAAATTAGAAAAATGAGAGAGCCCTATTTGGTCAATAGGTTCAAGAGAGCAAATAAGTTTTCTTTTCTTTGTGAAGTTGTATATATTTGTTTGTATTGGTAAGATAAACAAATTGTTGTCGTCGTTGTCGTTGTTGGTGTTGTTGTGTGTGATTTATTGGGCGCCCGAGTAATAGATTACTCGGAGGGTTGTTCTGTACAAGAAAGCTGGCGAAATTGTATAGCATCTGGTATAGGGTCCTGGCTGTTGGCAGGAATTATAGCTGCCTCCACTCCTGCAACATAAGGTTTGGCAAGCAATGGGAGATAGATGGACAACTTACAGAGTCCAGTTATTGTGTTTTGTTCTTCTGATTCTTGCTTTGGAAATACATGGATGCTGCTCACTTAGTTCTGAAGGTAACTCTTTATATATAGCTTATTGTTGATTCCCTTATGTGAATTCAACAGTTGGACATTATTCATCAATATGAGTTGTAATTGACATGGAAATGTAGGATTGGCATTGTTGGAATTTCGGGATAGGGTGGGTTCTGATCCATATGGTGCTTTTGCAAACTGGAAGGCTAATGACAGGGACCCATGCATCTGGTCAGGCGTTCATTGTGTGGACGGTAAAGTGCTAAGGCTGTAAGTCCCTGCTATGTTTCCTTATGATTTTCAGCTCACATTTATCTTGGTAACTTTCCTTTTATACGTAGATTGACATCTCCTTGCAGGCACATATATTGTAATAATCCATCATAAAAATATGAACTTCCATTTCAGATAATTAGGGCATGAAGATTTAGTGGTCATTGAGATTTGGTAGATTATTGATGCTTTCATATTTTGTTTTACGTGTAGGGATCTTAATGGGCTGTCTTTGGAAGGAGTACTGGCACCAGAGCTTGGAAAACTCACTCACTTGAAATCTCTGTAAGGATCAGCCTCATTGGAATTTTTTATTTACAATTTGGTGGTCTCTGACTGTTGGTGGAGTTTACAGTTCATAAGGGTTATATGGTTTCAAAAACTCCAAACACCTTTTTTTTCTCAATTTGGTTGGTGCTTGCACTGACTTAAAAGTTTTTGTTTCCAACATCAGTTCAGCAAACAAACATGAGATAAATGGCTTACTCTTTTATATTGTTGTAGCGTGTTATACTGTTACATGTAAATGTGATAAAGTTGCTGAATGTAGGCACTTTGTAATATATAATCCTTGGTAGTACTTGGAAAATTTAAATTACTGCTTAATGTGAGTTCAGGGTTTCCTAAATGTTGATTCTTGGAATTGAGCCATGTGACTTCACTTTTATCCCTATCATCATCATCATCGTTGTCGCCATCATTGTCACTGTTATCTTGATTCTTGACATAGTTCAGTATTACATCCTATTGTGGTGATAGACTAGCATACTGATATTTTTCAGCTGATTCAGCTTACTAAGGACTTATATTTGGTTGCCACTTGCTCTTCTTCAGAACCTGTTGAGGTTATGCAAATATTATTTTGCTTCTAATTGCTGGTGCACCATTTGGCTCCATTTTAAATGTCTAAGCCAATGTCACAGTTATTCATAATCTTATAGCAGGAAATGAACTCACAGGGATTCTTCCGTTACCAAGTAATCATCAAATAATTTTTTGTGCCAAATTAACCCTATTGCTTAAGGTTGATCAAGATCTTCTTTACAAAGCAAAATGGAATCCATGCCTTTCCTTCATAATTCTCTTTGATATTAGATTGATATCTTCACCACATCATAGTCAAGTAAAAATATCTATGTTTTAGGTGCCTAACCCATCTGAGTGCCCTTAAGAAGTGGGCAAACTGAGTGCAAAAAGAAAAATGGCATACCTACAAACATCCGTATTTGGTGTATACTATGAAAGTCTCATTAGAGTTTGATCATAATGGTTTGGAAAAAATCCTTAGTTTCATAATGTGTCGATTCATATCAAAGCCATTGTTATTTCTGAAATGCATTAAAGCCATATCTAACTCTCATTGATATTTATCAAGTGCCATGGGAAGTTTAAAATTTTTTAATCCTTGGCCAAGTACTATTGTTCATATTGCTGTTCATATTATGGGGACTCTGGGTTGTGTTTTGCTTATGTTTCTTCTAGTAATAAGGGCCAAAATAGGAAGTCCAGTAGATATTGTGCTTGTTTGGAACATTTCTAAAATGTATGATTCTTTAGGCCTGAAAATATATGTAACTTCAATGGCTTTTTGGTGTGTAAAGTAGGATTTAATGGTAAAATTTTCATATTCTTGTTTGTATATGGAATTACCAGGCTTGCTTGTTGGGCACATGTCCAACTGGTCATCCCGAGCACACGTCATGTCATGTTTAAAAAGGATATCGGAAAAAGTCCAAGTAACATAGCGTGGTATCAATTGTTTATTTGTCAATTGGGTGTTGGCAAATCACATCCCCATTGGAAGGCTGCATGTATAACATTGCTCAGGCCTCAGGCTTCCTTTTAAATTATATTCTTTGAAGGACCACTATTACATATTGTGTGACAACCTTCTTTATGGCTGTTAATTGATCAATACTTATACCGAGATTTTGTCAATTTGTTGAACTTGTTGAGAATTTGTTTAGTTTAGACCATTTTGACTTGCTAGAGTCAATATTTTTGGATGATACTTATGCATTTTCATTTGATTTTCTGACATTTAATATGGATCTCCATTTTAGTCAACAGGGCTATAGGAACTTCTATATATCAGTACTCTGCTGTGACCAATTTCAAAACTTAACAGAATTTTCTTGTTCTGGTACCTCATTTGCTTTGTCAGTGTACTCTCGAAAAACCATTTCTATGGTGCCATTCCTAAAGAGTTCGGACATCTTACCATGCTGGAGGTTTTGGACTTGAGGGAGAATAACTTGAGTGGTACTATTCCAGAAGAAATAGGACGGCTGCGGTTGCTAAAACACTTGTCTGTCCATTATTCTTTGATATAGCTGGTTTTCCTTTTTCACTGCTCTATATATAACTTCAATGTGCCTGGACTAAATTATTTTTTCGTACTCCAGGTTGCTTTCTAATAATACATTTGAAAGAAGCATTCCTTTGGAGCTTGGGAAACTCAATTTGCTCACTGAATTGCAAGTCGATAAGGACCTTACATATACTGTTGCCACTGGCATTGGCTGCATGAATAGAAAATTTGGAGACCGGTGCATGAATTCTCTTTCCTTTGCGCTCCTTTGTAATTTCTGGTGCTTTGCTATATTTGCACGTCACCCTCTAGCATGTTGGAAAGAGATTAGACTCCGCATGTTGATTGGTTCATGTTGCACGATTTGGCACATTATATCTTTTGATAGTGATTATAATTTATGATCTAGTCTTTCTATTTCTTTTACAGTTTTACTGGCCTACTAAACTTATCTAACTTGTCTGTTTTTCTGAATATTCGATTGCATGCCTTCGGCAGCATCTGGCAGAGTGGTTTAAAACCATTGAAGAAAGCAGATTCCTTTATAGCACCACTTAGAGGGGCACTTGCACATTACCTCAATCTGTTTCCATTGTAAGTAACCCACATGTTTCATGCACCTTCCTAATTTTACTTTGGCTTAGTCGTAAATTACTTATCTATTGACATCTATGTCTTTTAAGGTTCAATTTAGGGAAGAGCTCCTTGCACCGTCACTCAGACCATTGCTGTGACACTATACCAAGTGAGGCAAACCATTATTGGGTCTTTTCTGAGCTTTAAAGTTTATGCTTTGGCGAGAAATGACATTGGTTCTTGTATTAAGCAGGTTCACCTGAGCCACACATCCTACATGGGCAGAACCTTGTTAACATCGTACGTCGTAGGCTAGTGGAACAGTCCAGTAACCTCGCTGCTGCCCCTGCTAGCGGTGGATTTCCTCATGGTCAGATCATTTCTCTTCCACGTGGCAGAAGTAGTGGGTCATTCCCTGCCGTACCAAAAGCAAAGAAAATACAATCTCCTCCTCCTTCACCTTCGCCTGCTAAAGTGCCATCACATGAATCTCATAATGCATCAAATCCTGAAGGACAGTCTTCTGGTGCTGCTAACAAACCAACTGATAAACAGGATTCACCTGGTAGCACTTCAGGAAATGCATGGAAGTATATCGTTGGGATTTCAAGTTCTGCTTTCTTGCTCATTGCTGCTGCTGCCATGTTCTTCATCTGCCGAAGCCGAGCAGTGAGCACCATTGGCCCTTGGAAGACTGGATTGAGTGGACAGTTGCAGAAAGCATTTGTTACAGGTGGGTCTGCCCTATGTTAACAAAAAGTGATCTATAATGCAAGGAATTCACCACAGACTAACCTGACCAACTGAATAGACAACTACATCTTTCACATAGATTGATTAACCCGCAAACGGGATAGTTACACCCCAGTGCAATCACGAGAAACCTAAATCTTAAACATGACAAGGGTGCAAAATGTGGATTTACATGTGATCAATTAAGGTGTTGGGTCCAATTTTACAAACGATTTAAGGATGAGTAGGGCATGTGGGCACATCCAATGAAATTAAGTACTTAGAGTTGTGTCGTGCCTGGCATTTGAAATTGAATTCATGAAGGCAAATGGATATCATATGACAACCATGTATAGAACAGACCTAACGGTCCTAACCTATATAACTGAAGTAGAGAAGAAAAGGACTGAGGAAAACAAAACTAAATGAAAGTATTGATTAAAAGGAAATATATGATACCAATTGGTTGACTATCTTAATTGATTTTTGTATCTTTTGGAATCTTCATCAATAATTTTAGCATGCTGTTCATTCCTCATTTTACTCTGTTTCTCTTCCTTGACTTTCGTTACTTGCTCTCCTCCTTGGCTTTATCTTCCTTGATCTCTTGAATATTTACTCTTTTCAACAGTTCTAAAAATTGCTAATCAAATACATACTTCCTTTCTTAAGCTTTGTATAAAAATCCACATCATTTTGTGCTTAGAGCTAATATGACTCATGGTTATCAGTATCCTGGTTATGGTGAACAAATGTCCTGGCTGTTCCTCCTTTAGGCTTGTAACTTCACACCTTTGTTATGTCTTCCAAATCTTTGTCCAAGTTTGGTGAATCAACAGCAACAATGGTCTGGTGGTGGAGTTGATGGTTCTGTTGTTGCATTTGTATTTGGCAAGGCCTGGAAGTTGGTAGAAGAACAACCAGAATTTGAAGGTAGTCAACAACGTTTAGGGATCATGTTTTTTAAGAATTTGTTGAAAGAATTTAGGAGTCCAGAGAACAGGCATATTGAGTAATCTGAATAAAAATTAGGCATAACATAGCACTGACTAGAAAAAATAAAAATCAACATTGGAGAAGCACATGCAAGTGGCAAAGTGCCACTCTGCCAAAGTGTAAAAGCTAGTGAAAAATCTCAAGTCCAGGCCAGAGTTTGTCTCACACCAGAGACAAATGGAGGATTTGTTGAGGATAAGCTAATGACAACCAACTCTAAACCTGGGGTGGGCTTATAGAGAAGAGGTAACAAACATAAATATGAAATCTGGAGAAAAAAATGGAAGGGGCGTTACCTGGCATATTAAGTAGATAGATTCCCACGACGTCAAATTTGATTCTCTGATCTGATTACTCTCTGAATTTTGTCCTCTGTTAAAGTTGCATTCTCGTGTGACTTTTTTCTTTTTCCTCTCCTTGGCTTTCTCTTCCTTGATTTCTTGTATATCTTCAACAAAGAAATCCATCATAGGGGATTGGCCATTACCAAAATGGCTGTATCATCTTCAACAAAAAATCGATCATAGGGGATTGGACATTACAGAAATGGAAATTTCTTATTTTTTTAATCCAATTTTTTTTCCTTGTCTTTGTAACCTCAAATTTAACCACCATTAATTGAGTGACTATGGCTCCCTGTTTTCTTCAATGGCCTCATGCTTGCCGTTGGAATCATACTTCATAGATATTGTGCCATAGACATTATCAGTAGCAGATGTTCAAAATTGTTCTTGAGATTTTGGGTAGCTGCTTTCCTTAACTAGCATAGAATGATTACTTGGTTGAACTTGCATATGAGTGCTTGTTAAGCAGTTTAATGTCTGGCCTTTCATCTTCTCTTTTGTTTTTTTGGGGGTGGTGGTGATGTGTGTGTGTGTTTTTCCCTTGGAAGAGAGAAAGGGGGGGGGGGGGGGGGGTTGTGGTACATGCAGCATGTAATTTTGCGTAATGTCGACTGAATTATGTGTCTACCTCAAAAATGCAGGGGTCCCAAAGCTGAACCGTACTGAACTAGAAACAGCCTGTGAGGATTTCAGCAATATTATCAGCACCATTGATGGTGCAACCATGTATAAGGGGACACTATCAAGTGGAGTAGAGATTGCTGTTGGATCAACTGCCATAACCTCTCTCAAAGACTGGACAAAGTGTTCAGAGATGGCCTACAGGAGAAAGGTACGATGTTTTGCTTGGCACAGAAAGGATTATCAATCAATGAACCATCATTGTGTTTGACACATGTGCCCTTATCTGCTTCCATTTCTGCAGATTGATGCACTGTCTCGAGTGAACCATAAGAACTTCGTTAATCTTATTGGTTACTGTGAGGAGGACGAACCTTTTGTTAGGACGATGGTGTTCGAGTATGCTCCAAATGGGTCCCTTTTTGAGCATTTGCATGGTAATTTAGTAATCCTACACACTTTTAATGGTGCAGATAAATTAAAAGTTGAAGTTGTTTTTGGGATACAAAACTTTTGTTTGTTGTATTCTTTGTGAGCTTTTCAGTTAAAGAAGTTGAACATCTTGACTGGAATGCAAGAGTGAGGATTATTATGGGAACAGCTTACTGTCTCCAATACATGCATGATCTGAATCCGCCCCTGGGGCATTCCAACCTGAATTCGGAATCGATATTTTTGACAGATGATTATGCTGCAAAAGTAGGCTGTCATTCTACATCACATACCTGACAATCTTTATATATAGAGACTTATCTATGCCTTTTTTTGCTAAAAAAAAAAAAATCTGCTTTCTCAGATTGCAGAAATCAGTTTCTGGAAAGAATTTTTATCCAAGTCAAAGATTTCCGGGGAAAATGAATCAGAGCATTCTGAACTGCCACCACTTGCTGATCCTGAGACAAACATCTACAGTTTTGGAATTTTGTTGCTTGAAATAATTTCTGGGAAGCTCCCCTACTCGGAAGAACAAGGGCCTCCTGTGAACTGGGTAAATCTTATTTGGAATTCATGGCTTCCAATACCCTTAACTTCCTGTTTCTGATAGATTGATGACGCGAAAATAAACTTTTCTACTGTTTTAATAAACCAAGGTTTTACAACGTTGGCAGGCAGCTGAATACATAAATGACATACGGAGTATCAGCTACTTGATTGATCCGACATTGAAATCCTTCAAGAATAATGAGCTTGACATCATTTGCGAGGTAATCCAGGAATGCACTCAACAGGATGCAAGGAAGAGACCCACCATGAAGGAAATCATTTCCAAATTGAGGGGAGTTATTGATATATCACCTGAGTCAGCAACTCCAAGACTTTCTCCCCTGTGGTGGGCTGAACTAGAGATCCTTTCCGCAGAAACAGCTTAATCCGACTCTATTTTCCATGTTGTTAGTCAAGTATCTCTATTACCATGTATCAAATATACAAAAGAATACCTTGCTGCCATCAACTAAATCATATCATCTCTTCCTATTTAACTCATTGTGTGTCTCCTTTTTTATATTACGCGGTTTTGAAAATTCATTTTAGACATTTCTCGTTATTTTTTCACTTCTTGGCAAAAATGTGTGCCGGATGGTGTCATACATGGGGTGGAGTTGAGTTCCCACTAATGTATATACAGTATACAAGATTTCTGATAAAAAATTGACATGTAAAAAGAATATTGAGCCGGGATTTCTATGCAGTGGTGAATTTTTGGATTTTTTTAACATTTTTGTTTAGCAGAAATTGAAAATTTTGGACTCTTTTCTGTCATCAGCGCATTTCAGGTTGTTGGCAACTTGGCATGAGCTTGGGAATCTAATTTGAAACTGAGATCTTCTGGTATTTTATCTTAATTGTCGTAAACAATTGTATTATGTGGTCAATTATCTGTTGTATCAATTGAGAAGGTTGTGGAAACGGTCTTTCTGCTTGCAAGGGTAAAAGTTGGAAAACAATCACAATAACGGGAGTCTCGTGCACTGGATACGCCTATCAGCTGAGAAGGCCAACACCATGTTAATCCCAGATTTTATGTGTTATCTTTGGGAATTATACAATAACAGACTCCATTCTACATATGCTCCAGGTGTGAGGAGTAGGAATGTTAAAACAACCGAGCAGCTTGGTTTTTGGTTAGCATTCAGTTTGATTCTTACGTGTTCACACTCATATAAGTGATAAATAAATTGAATTTAATCAAATTTATAAAGTTATTTTGTTGACAAGTTGAACCTGAGTCGAATAGGCTCTGGCACCAGGATTTAATTTTAGGAGAGGCAAATGGGGGGCGGTTCGGTGCATGAAACTTCCACTTGGTGGATTGAACTTTAATGTTAAAGTCATAATAAAACAATCTTACCATACTGTTGCAACGCTAAAAAAAATTCCAACTTATGTGAAAAATATTCAAAATTCAAGTATAAAAACTATATTAAAATATTTTTCAGTATTATATGAGTCATAAAATCAATATAAAGAATATATCAAATCAGAACACAAACGCCCTTTCAAATCCCAAAAATGATTTATAATTGATTTCATACTCACTTTCTCATTCATTTCCTTTCCATGCATACAATCAAAGAGGCCGCGAAAAAAATCATAACTCATTTTTGTCGCGAGTCTAGAAATCAATTCTTTAAAAAAAGTAAAAAATACCCTTTTGAGTTGGTTCTATTAGATTACACGCTACTAATTTATCGAAAAAAGAGTGACAGACAACTACATGTTTTTTTCTTAAAAAAAGAGAAAATGTATGAGATAAAAGAGTAATATTATATTTGGCAACATATACAAGAATTGGGGTATTTCATGTTCATTTCATGCAGTTGAAAAATAGAACATCTTTTACTAGATTAATACGACTAGAAAAAAAAAATGGATCATTATATAAATTTTCAAAAATCTGGGGGGCATGAATTAAATTGGTGAGAATCGTGGTATTTGAACATAGATCATAGAGCTGGTTTGGAGGTAGGAGCGAGAGAAGAGCGCAAAAGTGAAATTTTTTTTAAAAAATTCAAAACAGGAGCACCTTAATGCTCCGTTTGGTATGATAAAAAAAATGAAAAGATGAAAAATTAGAAGGATGAATAAATTATCATGTTTGGTAAAAAAGAAAAAAAATGGAAAAATGGAAAAGTGAATGCATTAACTTTTCTTCCAATTCACTAAAATCAATCCTTCCAAAATCGAAAGGAGAGCGGATGAAAAGTTAATTATTTGTGTTGAAATGTATTTTATTTGTCTATATATTATGTATACATTAATTTCATATAAAAATACAATGATATATATAAATTAAAAAAATTAAAAAAAATATTTTTTTCATCCTAACTAGAGGTGAAAATTTTCGACTCAGCACGATGACACGACTCGAATTCGGCATGAATTTTATGACACGGACTTTATTATAACTCGACACAAACTTAGAAATGACCTGACACGCGAACAAGAAATATAAAAAGCTCATAATTTTATGACTGAACACGAATCTAACGCAACACGACTCGATTGTCACCCCTAATTTTAGCCAACACAAAAAAAAAATTATTCATTTTTATTTTTCATTCATTCAACAAAGCACAAAGGAAGGAAAGTGTATCATTCCTACTTTCTATCATTGAATGATAGAAAGTGTATTCTTCCTACTTTTCATCCGTCCTACCAAACAAAACATAAAAGCACCAGCTTGTATTAATAAAAATACACTTTTAAAAATCTAACTTGATACGCAAACATATTCTTCATGCACGGAGGTAAAGCGGATTATGTGACTCGAGTTTGAATACTATATTATTCATGCACGGTCTATAAACAGGTTGATTAGTGAACATAGCTATGCCGATGTTACTGTCAAACAATCTCTCTTAAAAGGATGGATAATTCTAAATTTATCTTCCGACCAAATCTACTTCTCTCTTCTTTTCTCCTCTAATAAATTTTTGTAAAATCTAAACTTATAAGGATAGATTTTATGATTAATTATATAGATTTTAACAGAAAAAATAATTATGAAGTTCTAGTGTTTAGTATTTATTTATTTTTTACATAAAAATGAAGTTCAATTCCTGCTCAAAATTAACCACAAACACTTTTAAGCTTCTCTGAGCAGCAGGCAGATTTGCCCCCACTACATGTAAACCTCCATATGTTCATCTTAATATAGTGACATAATTATTTGTAATATTCGTATACTAGTTATTGCATGTGCCTGAAAGCACAGAGTAATAAAAAATAATAAACAATAAATATATTTGTATTCATATTCAAAATTAAATCACAAACATAGAAAATAGATAAAAAAATTTAAGTATCGATTTGTTGTGGAGGTGAGAGGTGATGGGCGGCAGTGGTGGTGGTAGGAGACGGTGATGGTTGTGGTGAGTAGCAATAACTGTGGTGGCGGTGACATTGCTGGTGGTGGTGGTGGAGACGATGGTGGTAGGGGTGGCAGTGGCAGTGGTGGTGGGGGTGGCAGTGGCAGTGGTGGTGGGGGTGGCCGTCGGAGCGACGGTGGTGGCGGTGGCAGTGGTAGAGGTAGTGGTGAGATAGTTTCAAACAATATTTTTTTTAAGTATTTATAAGAAATAATTTTTAAAAATACTTTTAAAAAGACACTCTAAACACACATTTAGGAGCTTATTTTTCTTATTAAATTTAGGGTGTTAATATTAGCCGTTAAATTAATTTTAAAGTGATCTTAACATCGAATAGCAAAAATATTTTCTTTATCTATTGAGATTTGAATTATAAATTATTTTATTATATACATGTAATGACGTAAGAATGAACCATATTGATTGTAAGAGGAGAAATAAATATTTTGGAAACAAATTGATCATGAAATTTAAGTTTTGAAGATTTTTAAGCTTGAGAAGGGTAGTTATATAAGTTTCTAAATATTTTTAGGTCAAAATAAGGTTTCCATTGAATCTAAAAGGTCGAGAAACATTAGAAAATGTAATATGAAGTGTATTAAAAGTTAGAAAGTATTTCGCAGTTAAAGAGCATTTTAGAAAGAATTCAAGTATGAAAGAATTTGACATTACTTTAGTATTTTAGCCATAAATTTTTACTTTGAACTCTGATTGAGTTGATTTTTGGACAGTAGAAATAGACTTCAAGGGATAAAAAAAAGTGTATTTTACGAAAATTTTCTGAATCTACTTCTAAATAGGTGAAAATTACTCTGGAAGCCAGGACAAAAAGTTGGTAGCGTCTAGTTGAAACCTTCTTTTTCATCAAAAACAGTAATTTGACACCTTCCAGACGCTCAAACACTATCCAGATGCCACCCTAAAAATGGCTCTGATCATTTTTAGAGTTTTTCTCCATTTTTCACCCTATACTTACCATAAGAAAGTCCCTTTAGCTATGTTTCATCAATTTTCAACCCTAACACAATCTTCGAGAGCGAGAAAGAAGGAGAAAACACAAGATTCAAAGGGATCTTGCGTTGAGATTGATTCAAACATGTTAGAGTTATCTTCAAACATCGAACTGATGTAAGAGATTCTTCTCAAGTTCTTTCATTGAGACGTAAGGCATAATTATGTATGTTTTAAACCTTCTACATTATTATATGCTAAATAATTTTTTGCTCTTGGTTTCTTTTCAAGTAGCATGTGGTTTTCACCTGGATACATGTCTTGTGTTTAAAAAATATTGTTCCTAAATTTTCAAAACCCTAATTTTTTCTAACACAAATATTTTAAGTGAAAGATCTATTAATTCTTGAATTCTAAAATTCCTATTATTGATTAAATTAGCTTTTCAATCATCTACTTGTTCTTGTGCCAAGAAATTGTATTTTTGACAAAACCCTAGAATTTAGATATCAAAATTATAAAGGTTTTCTTAATTTGATCCCTTGCACATTTTAATTCATCTATTATTTTAGTATATTGAAAATTGTGCAATTTCTAATACTTGAATTATTAATAAAAATTGTGATTAGTTACGATTATGGTTGTTGACAAAATTGTGGTTTTATCTCTTGTATGGTTAGAGTGTGACGGACTTAAATTGTCTTTGAGAGTTGTCGTAGAGTATTAGAGGTTAATTTATTCTAATAGGGGTGAGATGTTTGCCTAACATTTGTAGTGAATTGTTGTTTATGAGAGCAACCACTATCATCATGTAGGTTCGAGGCTAAGAGATAGTATATCTTTCCTATGAAGGATTCATCAATACCATGTGAGGTGGTATACGTCATTCTTAAAGTGATTTGTGATGTGTCATGCGAGGAATGATTGAGATTGTGTGGTTGAGCTGTAAGAACGAGATAGAATCGTTGTGTAGATTCCTGAGAAACAACCAATATACATGAGAATATGAGATGATACAGTTGAGTTAATTATTGTGCTTTAATTTCTTGCATTTTTATTTATGTCATTGATTTACTGTATTCCATACACTTGAGATCATTACAATTGTCACGGTTAGATCGTTACAATTGTCACAGTTTTACTCTCAAAATTTTATATATGCTATTTTTCCAAATAGACTTGTCTTCTTTTTATTATTTTAAATCTTGTTGGGATCTGAGAAGGATTGTCTATGGGCATTTGCTCACCTCATACAACACACTTACAAATTTTAACATAGAAGAGGACAGGGGCGGAGCTAGGATTTCCCATTAGAGGGGGTAAACTATTACAGAAAAAAATTTCACCAGTTTATACAAAACATTTTTAAGCAT